ATATTTATTATTATTTAATATAAAAATCAGAGTGATCTAACTGGATCTGAGAAAATGTGCACTTCACTTTGTTAAAGTTTAGCCATGTCTGTGAGAAATAAAAACAACATTTATGTGAGTGCAGTTATAATTTTCTGAGTGCCCAAATCACAGATTTATTATAACTGTTTATATCTTTTTTTCCACAGAAAAAGACAGTATTATACTAAACACAGTAAACTAATGTACTAACCAAACTTTATGCACACAAAAATGAATAAACACATTTGAAAGGAATACTATGAAGAAAAAAAATGCAGTAAACATTTACAACATATTAGGGTGAATTGTAATATGGTAGAAAGTGAAGGTTTAAATTCAGATTAACGTGTTTACCAGCATTAGACCTGTGATGGTTACTAGAACAAGTTAGTCATTATATTCATAGAACAGCACACCAGAGATAGTAAAAGAAAATAAGAATTATTAGCAGCAAAAGGCAAACTTCTTTCAAGGCAGTTTTTGACAATGTTATTATGAAAGAAAATATAAATTTATTGTTAACTGATGGTACCTAAGCATTTCAGTGTTCAGAAGATGAAACTTTTATGTCACCTGTGAAAAAAGGGACTTTTTAAATAGCTATTGAAAGTATTAAATCTATATTTATATATATATTTGTACATACACAGTAGTATCTTTAAATGCACTTAGATACTCTACTGGTATCTAAGGCTACAGACAAGAAAGAAACAAATAACTATCTTGTCCTGTGTTTCGTGGAAAAAAAGAGACAGACAGATAGTATGCATCCTTTTGACAAGCTGTGTTCATAGAATAACTTCTGGGTTTGTTGAAACATAATGGAACTTTAAATCAAAAAACAATGTAGAGATCATGCACACGGGTTGAGTGGAAATAACTAAAAAAGGCTATGCAAAATGCTAAAAGCAAAAGAAATAAAGAAAAGGAAGAACCTTATGCATTTCTCCATGAAGATCTCCTACCTCTTCTCTAGTGTCTATGGCAGAGCCAGGGGTGGTGGCAGCAGTGCTTACTGTGGTACTGGGGGCAGTGCCTGATGAAGTCACTGAATCTATCTCTCCTGCTACATCGTTGATTTCCCGTGCGATGAGAGCCAGATCTTGACTGATCCTAGTAATAAAGACAGTGTTACTTTCTCCCCTACAAATTCTTCTACACCAGCAGAGCCCAACCTGCAGCATTTGAGCTTCTGAATTCTAGTTCCTGATTACTGTGCTATGAAAATGCGTGTACCCTTCTAAACTGAAAGTTTATTTGCAGAACCATAAAATTTTTAACAGCATGTCCTTCTAGAGGAAGAAGGTAGAAGGCAATCTCAAAAGACAGTGTACCCTTGTTTTCTTTCTAGGATTCCGAGGCAGAGATGTGTAGAACATGCACACATGGGATGCACTGGAAATACACTGAAAATACCGCACAGATGACTTGCCTAAGTACGTGCAGTAAATCTGAAATATCCAAAACACATTTAATTTATACCTGTTTAACTACTTGCAAAGAACTTCTTCAGGACCTGTGATTATCCAGTAGTCCTGCAGCTTGCTCAGATCAAGCTCCTAATGTGTCTGAAATTCCAGACATGTACCCTAAGTCTTCAAATTTAATCAAGACAAGCTTTCTAGTTGGAAAAACAGAACATGCCTGTAAAAACCTGGATATAATAGCACTACACAGATATATCTGACTTCTCATCTGAAGATTCCTTTTCCTTTCTTCTGATCCACCACATCACGTCACATCTGCTCTGTATTCTGCTCAGCACAGGGAGGAAGCTTGCTTAGTTGTGCTTCTGCTATTCCTTCCCAGGACACCAAAAAAGAAGGAGGGGAAAAAAAACCCCAAGTAAAAGCTAAAAGCACTCTGCTAACTATGGCACCCTGAATCTCCAGCTTGGATCAAGCAGTTCAGAAGACCTAGAATTCAGAGCAGCCCACCAAGCAATCCACTTTCATACTTCTGTCTGAGAGGAGTGAAGGCACAGAAGTCAAGAGTGCTAAATCTGCACCACCAAGGACGCTGTGAACTGCAGCACCCACCACTGAAGTGGAAGGAGCTGCACAGCCATGTGACAGTGATGCACACTGTGCTGGCCAGTGCTTGTTAAAGGTGAGCTTCTTTCTGCTTATCACTTAAAGTCAAAAAGAATGGAAACCATTGACCTAGAGACCGTTTAAGACAGAGTGAGCAGAATTCAACTAGAAAGGCAAAGATAACTAGAGAAATTTCCAGTCAAATTCCAACACTGGATTTTGTGACTAATCATCAGCAACCTGCAATAAAGTGCAACCGTGTGCAGCACAGATACACATGGAACCGGGATAAGGCTGTAGAAGAATATGCGGCAATTACCTCTGACCACTCAAGACAGTATTTCTGATTTCAAACTATCAAAGACTAGGACACTGAAGCAGAAACAAAGTCAATTGCTCATTGTAATAAATTAAAATATGGTAAGTACCTACTAATACATTAGTAATTTAACCTAATTACTACATATTTTGCATCAATTTTATTTTATATTTTGTGTTCTTATATATACGTACCATTAAAACTCCAAGGTTTGAGCTAATATTCTAAGTAGTAGAGATACCAGAGCATCTACTTCCTTTGTTTCAGAGAAGTTGCTAATAATCACATTTGAATTTCTGCAACAAACTTTGGTATAAAATGAATAGTTGTGAAGAAATTAAAACCCAGGAAATTTCAATTATCAGTAAATCCTTCAGAAGACAAATGTCACTAAACATCATAATCAAAAGTAGTACCAATCAACTAGGACTTAACTCTCCATATAAATCACCAATGCTTCAACATGTCACAGCCACTTCAATTGAGTTCTTACGAGGCAATCAAAATGATATAAAATTTCAGATATCTACATAAAATGAATTCAAATGAATCCTGAAAATACCATAATAAACAAGTCTAACATGGATGGTAAGCAACTTGTCAGACAATCATCATAGTCAAACACTAGACAAGTGAACAAAATCTGGAATTAGTTTTAATGTGATAGTAAACCACAGTCAGTACCCCATAATGTTTCTGTATAACCAGGTGAGAGTTGAGTCTGACTCTTCATAAATGAAGTTCTCAAAGTCATTCTACATTAACTTTTAGAAACAGGAAGTATTGCTTAAATATAAGGAGTATGTTTTGTATAGCCCAGGACAAGAGACTTAGGCTTTAGGTACACACTATTTACTGTTGCAGCTGCAGGTTGCCTTGCAGATTTCTGCTTCCTGCATCAGACTTCGCAATCATAGAGGGCAAATCAATTCAAGGAGGCAAAAGTAAAATAAACCTCGTACCTAAACCCCTCAATCTGCTCCAAGAAATGTTGCTATTAGATTTGCTCCGTAAGCAGACTCCCGCAGCTACGTAGTTACACAAGGGACAATGCAAGGGAAAAGGTGAGAACACGGGGCTTGGGATGGGGAAAGCAGGACCATCTTTTTCAACAGCCTGGAACTCTAGTTCCTCTTTAGCTGTGAAAGAATATCCATAGCATTAGAAAAGAAACTATGAAATAAGAATACTGCTAAGATAACCGTAATAGTTCTGAGCCGCTGGATTACCAAAAGCATTTTTATGCTTAATCTACTACGTCACACTTCCTACTCTGAGTCAGTTTATTTTGTAACGATACTTTAAAATCCTTAAATAAAATATATGTGAAGGTCCTGTTATTCTGAGGGTGTAACGTCCCTTCAGGTCAAATCAGTTTTAGATCAAATTTAGTAATTCCATGAAGTTTTTTTAAACACCTCTTCCCAATTTTGAGTTTTATGAACATCCGTAAATTGCGGAGTGTGTGAAAAGAGCAAATTGGGTCAATCTTGGAAGACCCCTTAAAATACAGTATGATGGTAAAATGGATGCAATGAAATATTTGTCATACAGTCTCTACGTTACTTTCAGCTACACATTTATGAAATACTTATTTTGATACCTGCCTAATCTAGTCAGCTATTCAACAAAAAAAATTCAATTGATTTCACAACCAATTTTAATGGGAACACGTAACTAACTTTTCCTTTGTTAAAAACTAAACAGAGTTGAAGGGACTCTGATCATAGAGGCTGGACTGAGGGCTTGGAATGGGGAAAAAAATACCACGGTAAACAATGACAGAGGGGTGACTATGGTTAGCTAGGCAAAGGGAGCAAAGATAAAAATTACCTTATAAAGGACAGCAGTTAAACTTAAAGTCAGGGGAGCATTACTGTGAATCAGTACAAAGAGACATGAAGGCACAGAAAGGATGAACTAGTGACCTAGAGAAGGGCAGCTCAGCAGAGGCTAACCTAGGAAACTGGTTGGAAGCAGTGACAATTGATGACAGTAGTCTGAAATTTCACAACTGCTCAGTGCTAGCTTTCTTAATCTTAAATATGCTCACTTAATGAAGTTTGTGTGAAATTTCTATACACAATCACAAATTTGGCAATACTGATTTGAACCTCTCCCCACTTCCACCAAAAGTAAAGACACTGAAAAAGGGGTAAACGCATAGCTTTCAAAACAATTTAAAACTAGTATCTAAATGAAGAAAATGGAAGAAAATCTAAATGAAGCCAAGGGAAGAAAAAACCTGCAAGCCTAACCATCAAATAAGTTTAGACTGAATTGTTAATTACATCCAGTGTCAATCTCTCCTAGATGAGCAAAATGTACTGAGAAGTTTCACTGAAAAAGAGGTTCAGCAGCACTTTTTATAAAGAGGAAGCAATATGCTAAGGCTACCCTCAATTTTTTTCCCTGTATACACACATTCCTCCCTATATCCATTTCCAACTTTAGTGTCTTGGAAAGAAAGAGATGCTTTAGGAAGATGCCTTTGAAGGTGTTTATTTCAGGATTTATCAAGATGCTATCCAACTCCCTTAAGTATTTTCCCTTTCCACAGACCACACTACAAAAACAAATGTTGAAAAATATTATCAAGAAGAGGAAACAAAAAATAATTAATCATAATAAGCAAAACACAATGCTTCACATCTGTGAGGCCAGTGTTAAGATTAATTTTAAAAGGAAAACACTTTTCTTGTTCAGGCTTACAAATTAAGTTCTGTGAAAAGGTTCAGAACCTGAACCAGGCAACTAAGTTTTAATTAACATTTATACAACACTTACATAGTTTTACTTATTTAGTGCAAGCTATTTGAAGTTTCACTGCCTGGGTATTGCATGATATGGGAATAAATGGTTACCAGAACATAGAAATGACTACCTTTTCCTTGGCTCACTTGAAGCACAGTGCTATTAGCAGTAATGGAGGAATTGCTACACTAATCTCAGGGACTCACAACAAAAGAAATTAATTTTTGATGAATACAGATGATTTAATTCAGAAAATATCTAACATGAAATAATGTCTACATAAACCAAAAATTAAAATGAGAACACAGTCTCTCACATTGTCAAAGTCACTCTTCCCTCTCTGTCACCTATGCATCGATCTGAAATTTTACCTCAATATGAACGTAAGGGTAGTACAGAATCAGATGTACTTCAGCCTTGCAAAATACACCACTAGCAAGTAGGAGTTATACACAAAGTACCTCTGCTATTTCCACTAATGCAACCAGAAGTTCATATTCTGGGATCAGGCTATCCTAAGTCAGAAATGACTATCATTTTCCATTAGAAAGAGATCTATCTGCTGGTAACATGAGTGTTCTGTCTGCCAGTGTCTTATTAGAAGAATTTTAAATTACCCATTCAGTTAGTGAATGAAAATGGTAAGTAGAGTGATACAGAAAATCCATTAGCTCTCTTTCTCCTATATATGGACCTGTATAACTGGCTGGGTACAAATCTTTATTATTTTAGAGGCACTCCTTTAAAACCAACCTTGCTATTTCTTCTCGGTGAGCAGTCCAGTCACGAATGTAGTCTTCCTGTTCCTTTATTCTGTGCTTGAATGCACTGCTACTTTGAGCTGCTGTCCCAGTGCTCTGCAGTCGTGTGGTTTTCAGGGCTGGAGAGGTACGTAGACGGGTATGTTTAGGGGAATTACGGTTTGATCCGAATTCATCTTCTGAGGTGGAAGCATAATCTGTAGGAAAGCGCCTCCATCTTGCACTTACTAAATTAGTTTAATTATTAAAAAAGAATTATTATTGCATCTTTAACAAGAAAAAACAGTATTATTTCAGTAACATCACAGAAATACACAACTATTCATTATCAAACCCCAGATACCTCACACAAGGTTTATTTACTACATCTTAAAAAGAAAGCTACAAAATTTGTGTTAATAAATACTGATTAATAGAAACATAAAACGGATGCTCTTTGTATAATGATGAGTGAAATAAGATGTAAAAGCCAGTAACTGTATATGAGATCAGCCAAACTGTGCTACAAAACAAGGGCCCAAATCATTAACATTTAAGTATATAGTCAAATTGCACTTTTTCTGCAGATTTTTTTCCCAGGTTTCATTCAAGTTTTATGTGATAAACAAAAAAATGAAGAGACGTGAAGGAAAGATTGAGCTGGCACCAAGCCAGGAATGCATGCTTACATAAGGAAAGCATAAAATCCTAGATGATGCATTATGTATTTAGTACAGAAAAGATATATGAAAATTAATACTGCGTTATAAAAATCAGCAGCACATCTACAAAAAAAGCAGCCTCAGAGCAAAAAGCATATATTTTCACATGTAGCACATAAAGCATATACAGCCATGCTGCTGAAGACAGCCTGATGTATAAGAGAACTGAAACTAAGTACGAGGCTCTTGTCCCCCTATGAATTACTGAAGTCTAGAAAATACATTTCAGATATGCTGTCCTCAAACATTCCCAGCAGGAAGAGATATCACTAAGTGGAAACGAATGCTCATCACAACCACCTGCTAAATTCTTGCAGGGGATTTAGTCCCCTAAACTCACTGACATTCATGGGGCTCTATGATTACTCTAGAAATTTTTAAAAGTGTGTGATCACCTCTTGGTAATTTAAAAATGATAGATTCAAATAATGTATATTGGTTTTAGTATTAAAAAAAATACAAGAGTAATAATGATTTCTCCTGAAACATTTAAGAAAACATATACAAGTGAAGTATACATCAGTATGAATTTAAGCAACAGATAACAGAAGTAATTTTTAGTTGAGAAAAGACTCGTGTAATGCTCTCAAAGATTACATATGTTACATATGCAGACTATGACATTGGTGTATAAACTTATATCCCTTCCCTCATATAAATAATGCATTTTTAATAACTGAAAACAAAAATATGCTTGCATATTTTTTTTCAGGTTTAAATGTGGGCTTCAAATCATATCCAGTTCTACTTTTTTTTTTTTTTTTAATATTCTAACTTATTGAAGAAAATAAAATGTCTCTCCAGTCACTTACTGTTCTCTTTTTAGAGGTTTCAAACTTATTTTGATCTTAGGGAAGTAGAACATAAGCAGAAAAAGCACATTTCCCCACCAACAGCATGCAAGCAATGTGTAACCAAAGTCCAAAGAGCTTTATGAGTTGGGCCCACATTGTAGCATCAATTTTTGTTTAAATTCTTTGTCCTGGTTCAAATTATACATATCCAAATAAATATAAAATTAACCTTAAAATCTCTCAAGTGATCTAGTCCAGCAACTCAGCACTGTACAATGAGCATATGTAACTGTATATTTAAAAACTAAAAATCGAATGAGAAGTGAAATATCAGAAACAGATTTGATTTCTAGTACTCTACCACTGTAAGTTTCAACATCAGGATCTGGGTCTGGGAGAAGCTTGGATTTCTCTGTGTACAAAATAGTGTTTTATCATGTTAATTTGTATTAAAACATTCAGATTAGAATCATCTGTTTAAATAAAATATATGATGAGATTAGTCTTAGGTCCTCTTTTCTACCCATACTTTTTAGGAAAAGATTCTTAAATTATACATTCAATCAGGAATAATAGATTTTGTAAAAGCTTAAACATTTCATAGATACTAATTGCAATGATGTCAATAACAATCGTCTACATAGTACCATAAAAATCCTCTACATTTTTTAGGATCATTAAATTTGAAGGCTTTAAGATATTGTTTATTTATAGATTATCAACAGGTTTCTCATTAATAGGAGGAAAAAGTTTTTGTAGGCTTAATGATAAAAATATCAAAGTTGTATCATTCATGACAAGCAATATCTAAAAGCACGTTTCCCATTAAGATAGCTATACAGTTGCTCATATATGCTTTTAATACTATTTATAAATGATGTAATCCCAAAATGTCATTGTAGTTTATGTAGATTTCTGAAAGCTATCATGCAATTAGTTATCTCAGACACAAAAGACTACTAATTTGGTGACTACTCTGTGAGAAGTACAATGTGTTGACAACACCTTAAACTGGCAAGTTTAAAGACTTGGAGAGCATAATCTCACTTTTAAGATCTGAGGACAGACTTTATTAAGCACATCCCTTATAAAATACTCTACTCTTGTTGATGCACTGACTTCTCAAGGTTCATCCATTTCAGAAATCCTGAAATTCGGTGCTCAGTAGTGCAAAAATGCTCAAGTGCAGTTAATAAGGGTTGTTTTCCCTCCATGCTCAAGCCTTTTTTAATTTCTTTTTTAATTTTTTTTTTTTCCCCCAGATATACCTCAACAGCTTTGATCAACCTATCTGCTAGTTATCTGCAATGACACCTAGGTCAGCAAGCCAGCAGAGCTGCCACATACAAGTAGTTGCTCAAGGTCTGTCTGTTCTGACTCAATGCTTAATTTTAACAGCTTCAGCCTAGCAGTTTTTGCACTAGGTCTGATCCTGTTGTTCCTTTTCCAAAAACACAGCCCCTTCAATAACATCATCTTCAGTTTTCCTCTGCAATTGTGAAAAAAAGGTCTTTGGTCTTCTTTGTTTTTACTGATCACACTCTACTGTTTGATGATTCAGTGCCTTGATTAAATCTTTCATTGCTTGTGCTGTAAAATTACTAATTCTGCTTCACATGTCTCTACAGTGTTGTCAGTTACCAAGACTCCTACCACAGAAACAACCTGGTAATTATTCTAGCGCTGGTAATTCTCATCCAAGATGTTCCATTTATCTGCTTGCTCTTTCATTTAAAAGTAAGCAATACTTAACTGTATCAAGGCTTAAAGAAGATCCTTGGAATTATGGACTTGCTGACAGCTCTGACAATTTTAATGCCATTACACTGCAATTCATCCATACGAAGTACAAGACAATAAAAAAACCCAGTGACTACAGCTTTTTTTTCTCCCTTTTTACAAACATATATATGTGAACACTCAAAAAGATTTGGGAAACGTGGAAATAATTTTCTCTTTGGCAGAGAAATCTCTTTGGATTTAAGAAGCAAGATTCTGCTGCCAGTGTGTGGAAATAATTTTCTCTTTGGCAGACTGGATTTAAGAAGCAAGATTCTGCTGCCAGTGTTTACTGATCTACAGTGTGGTAACATTGAACTCTGATGAGAAAACCCACGGAACATTTTTTAAGACTTCAATAGCAACCTGTCTTCTGGTAAAAGAAAAAACCAAACAAACCCTATATTGGTAATGATCATTCATTTTCCAGTCTTTCCAGGTCCAGGGAGAGAAGAAAGTACATGACTATTAAGTCTTGATTAAATGTGCCCAAAGTAAAACACTTACAAACAGCTGAGGCACTTCTGTTAGGCACTTCATTAGTAATTTCCAAAAGTGCTAAAATCAAGTGAATTGTTGACTATTCTAGAAACAAAATTAAATTCAGGAATTATATGCTTTGGATCCAAATGCTTCTGTTACGTTACATTTTTATATACTGCATACAAGTAAGACCATTCAAAGATGGTTTAAATATGTTTATCTAAGGATAAAATAATAAAGAATATTTTTAATAACTTGATGTGTGGGGTAGTTATTAGCAACATTTTATAAGATGCTAATGGAAAAATGAGGATGTACTGCGTAGTGGCCTATATATAATAAGAGATTATTTGCACTTTTAAAGCAATTCAGATTTTCCTAACATATACTCTAAATAGTCCAGTAAAAAAATTATACAATAAGCTTGCCAATACAGACAAAATATGGAACTCCAAATCCTAAACAGTAGTAAGATTCTTTACTTACATAGTAACAAGACTTTATTTGTTAAGCCATGATTTTTTTTTAAGTGTATGACTGCTTTATTAATTGCTTTCCTATTTTTGCCTTTACATTAATACAGGTTTCTCCTTGATTTTGATATATAAGCTGCTAAAATTTTTTATGATGGAAGCTATTTCTACTGTAGATTTTTTGTAACAACAGTCTTTTAAAAATACCTAGCTTACTATGTTGGGGAAGCGCTCATGAGAAGATAGCATCTTTTCTCTCTTGAAAACAGAGTATTTCATAGAAGCTACAGTAACCTTTGTGTAATGCAGGTAAACTTAATGAACATTAAACAAAGATGACCATGATAGACTAGTTGACTGGGAAGAGAAAGACACACTCACTCCCTTGTACAAACCAGTTCAGTGCAGCATCCTGGCAGAAGTTTAGGAAGCATGCTATATGCTTCACATTGACACAACTCTCAAAATCCATATATAGTTTTGCAAAAAACACAAGAAGCAGTGAAGTGACAAGTAACATCTGGGGTTTACCTGTTCAAAAATCAGCCATATCACAATGTGAACTAGTGTTAATTATTAAAGTAAACATACAGAAGCAGTCTTAACTGACACTCTTCCCTGACCTAATGTTGCCACATTTCAGGCTGCACACATCAATTTAAAATTTTGATTAAAAATGAAACTTTCACAATGATATCTTACAAGGAAAGACTGAGTTTTTCTCTGAAGTTTTACCCTTTTTTTAATCTTTGTAGACATCTGTCATAATATTAAACAGATTCAATTTTATAGTTGAGTGAACACCTCATTTGTATCTCTATAGTAATTTCTATTCAGCTAATAAATGACACCGCCAAAAGATACCTGTCTGAGGAGTAAACACTGCTAAGAATCCTAAGAGGGTACATTTAGGATATACAAGCAACAGAAGGGCAGTAGGACTGGGGGAAATTTAAATATCACTGAAGTTTATATCAAGTCTGAATGGGAAGCAGTAAAGGAGAATACATAACCTCAGTAACCACATGCAATACTGGAAGGTATGCTACTTATTTTTTCTTAGATTGTGGATTGGCTTCAAATAAGGTCAACCTGGCAGAATGACAATTCAAAAAGTAAGAGGATATCAATTTTAGATATTCCTTCCACATTAAAGTTGACTTATTTAGAATTACCACATTTCAAATTTGGTTTAATATTGCTGTTGGAAAAAAAGTAGCAGCCTTTCATGCTGTTTGCACTTAAAGTGTTATGTTAACTTCTAACAGAATAGTAGGTTAAAAATAATTGTACGTTTTTTTCCTTCCATACCTAAGATAATATTATAGCAAAGGAACTACCACACGAAGAAGATCAATGTAATTTGGAAATCATGATGAAATCTTAAATCTTCATGATTTGGAACAGAGAACAGAAACTACTCCAAGACAAGGTAAACATTTTAATGTAAATTACTTAAATTTATTATATTTAGTTAGGTAGTGTTTGTGTGTAATTTTCTGTTTGTTACTTCACTGCTATTATTCTTCTAAAACTAATCTTGCATTTGTAGTTCTGGAAGCTAGTCTTAAATTTTAAATATAATTATCCTACAGATGCTCAGGGTATACTTCAGGGAACACCTGCTGTTCAGCATATTTAGAAGCCTACAAATAAATATATCTTCTATGTAGTAAAAAGTGTTGCTGACTTTGTAGTACTATGAGTCGAGCAGAAATCTCTGCTCTGTTTTTGTACTGATGCAAATCAGTGCTCCACATCTGAATGCCTCAATGCAATTCTTTGTTACTGGTTTCAAGTTCAAAAAAATATCCAAAGAGTTAAAGGATTACAACTTATTGTCTTTATGATTTTAAGTGAGAAACATTCACAAGTCCGGCCAAGGCAGCCTCTTGCTCCAAAGAGAAAGACTGCATCAACTAAAACTCAACAAATGTCTCACAAGACCTGTTCCTTAAAAAAAAAAATAAATTAAAAATATCTAGTGTTGGATAAGACTAATTCAGATAATTGCACATACCTGAGGGAGAATTATGAGCTGAAGCCAAAGATTTGGATTTTGAATCTGAAAGTCGAGAAATGCTATTGGCTCGAGTTCTAGCAGAAACTTTGCTACTATCTCCTGCTGATGTTAACCTTGCACCACTTCTGATAATAGCTTCTGGGGTACGAGATGAGGCAGTGCTTCTAGTTATTGTTGCTTCAGAATCACTACGTGCTGATAAAGAGCCAAGTCGAGTTCTGCGAGGTTGAGCAAGTAAGTCTATTCTGGAAATATTTCTCCTCCCTGATGGAGGTTTTGACGTAGAACTTGTAGTGGACACTTCAGAAGCCACTGAAGCCTTATCGGCATCAGCAAGCTCGCTATCCGAGGCTTCACCAAGCCGTGCTCTGCGCAAGAGAGAAGTCCTTGTAGGACGAGGTCTTGGAAGAGTGGTAGATTTACTAGACTGCCCAAATGCAACAGGAGAGGTTTTTGATTTAGCTGACTTCCCTTCCATTTTAGAATGTAAAAGTTCATCTGCTGAGGCAAAAGGAACTCTTCCATGTGATTTACCAGAGTAGGTTTCCTGGTCAGATGATAAGATATCAGAAATGGCAGAATGAGGTACACTAGATGTTTGGTCATCATCTGTCAAATCTACTGATGGTTGTCTAATTCTTCCAGTGGATTGCACCGTTTTGCGAGCATCAGCTCTAGACCCACCATCTGAAGATCGACTCTTAGTTTTCTTTTCCATCTTTTCTCTGGCACTTGTTGCAGAAGATTTTAAAACATCCTTTGAAGGGGAACCAGAGGAACATCTATCTTTATATAAGGTTGTAAAGCTCTTCCGCTTCTGTGTGGATTTTCTTTCAGTGTCACCAGTAACGAGACTGATTGTGCTGGCTGTGTCTACATCTGACTCTGGCGATATGGAATTATCTCTGTTATAGCTAGGAGTCTCAGGACCTTCATCAGTTTTACTTTCTTCACGCAATTTAGCTTCAAGGAACGCCATTACAGCTTCTGTGTCTTTTAAAATGAGTGTTGTATCTAGACTGGAATCAGTGTCCATTGAATCACTTCTGTCACGTAACCTGTTTGCAGATGCTAAAGGGGCAGCAGATCCACTTTGTTTATTAATGTGAGGAATAAGTTCTATAGGTATATTCGTGCTAGGCTTATCTATAGTAAAGCTACCTTGCCTCACTAATGGTTTTGAAGATTCCTTTTTTTCTCCTCCAGATGCTTTAGGACTTTGTCCTTTAATAGTTTCCTCGTTTTTTCTTCTTCTTCCCTCACTCTGCACCAATTTCATTTCTGCTTTATCTGTAACATGTCCAGGAGCCTTGTCTTGATTATCCAAAGTTTTGGGTGACATAGCAATCTCCTCCCTAGCTCTCTCAACCTGGTTTGCAGCAGGCTTTGTAGAGGATAATTTTGTGGGTGTCCAGTGTCCTTGCTCCTTTCTTTCTTGTTGCTGAATTTTTGCTAAAGCTTGTTTCACAGCAGAAGCTTCTCTCACAGTTTCAACTCTGTCTTTACTGGAAGAGCTGGGGAAAGAAAAAACTTTGTCTCCAGTAGATTTGGGTGAAAGCCCATTCATTGTTCTGCTTGACTTAGCTATACTTCTGCTGTCAGCATCTGAGGCATGAGCTGGAGTTTCTTTCTCCTGAAGTTCAGTGTCTTGCTTTTCACCTATTTCTGATCTCTGATGAGATGTAGTTTTTGCTTTTGAGCTTTCATTCACTTTCTCCTCTTTGGGAAGCTGTGGAAGTGTCCTCCTCTTTCGCTCACCTTGGCTGGTCATAGAAGCAGTTGAACCAGTGCTTCTAACGGAAATACCAGATTCACTGATGTCTGTATCTTAAAATGAAAAATAAAAACCTATCTGAGAAGTTATTCAATAGCAAGGTATATAGAAACAATAAATTCTTAAGACTGAGTAACACTAATAAAGCAACATAAAATAGAACTGAAAAAAATCATTAGTCCATTCCTCTGTTCTACTGCAGTATCATTTCCACTTAGACAAATACATGCTTAAAAACATTGAATAAGTTCTTTAAAATCTCAGTTGATGGAGATTTGACAATCCCTATAAGCTATTTGGGTAGATAACTCTTAAAAATAGTTTTCTTATTCTTTAACATGAGCTGGACTTTCTTCAAGGTAGCCCATTACTGCTTGTCCTCTTCTCATTAGGCATCATTTCCTTTTTACAGGAAAAAGTGTAAACACTCCTCTTATTACAGAGTGGAAGTGAATCACATTAACTACCTCCAAAATACAGTAAGTTGTACATAACTAGCTATATTTCATTTCATTGTTGCAATACATTTTGTAGTAAAATCCAAAATAATGTGCTAACATAATTCAGAATGGGTATCTCCTGATTAAAGAGATTACATGTATAAAAAAAATATTTCTGCATTACTAGAAGTAGAAAGTTAAGAGCCTCATGCAAGAAAACAGTTCATTCTACACAATCCAAAGTGCTGATACAGAGCATGTATCTATGAAAGCAATGTCTAAAAGGCTGCAATGGAATTACTGCAATGAACCATTTCTGGTTTATCACAGAGACATGACAAGGACAGAAAAAGCCATCTTCCAAAAGTGTACTTCCTAAAACTAGCATATTGCAGGAAAATGGAAAGAGTCATTTCAGAAGCAGGGTAAGAGTGCAAAGACAGAACAACATCCTTTCCTCCTGCTCTGCTACAAACAGGCAGAATTGCTTCCCAAACATGGATAATTTTGGTTGTGATTAAACAATAGTCTGTGTGTCATCTTGGGCTAATTACTGCCTTGCCGATACTCTGACTGTATACTGGGAAAGGGAACACTTAATGAACATTTGTGTCATTCTTGCAGAGGGACAATGGTATTTTTTCCTGCTTCATTGTAATTTCAGTATATATGTTCCATAATATGGGCTAGGATTGCTGTCATAAAAAGAACAGTTTTCATAGATACAAGAATTTGAGCTACATAGGATATGCACTCCCTGAAATCAAACTCTTTTAGTCAGTTGTGTACACCAGGACCACATATATGAACCAGAAGATTTTGTGTTCTCATAGTAGCTTAAAATAGGTACACAACAAATCACTACTGTATCAGCACACCATCACAACAGGGAGTGGAAAACACGTCTTACATCCTAAACACATTCAGCACCAGATTTCAAAGCTACTGAAGAGATTAAGATCCTCCTCCTTCCTCCCAACCTGTCTGTTCCACAGCTCAAGGTCTTGTCTCACTGAGGGGCTACAGTCCTTCCCTGCAAGACCTCCGCTCAAGGAAGAAGCTGCAGTGCTGGGAGACACTCTCTCAGCAGTATTGAAAAGCTATACTCATGAAGAAAGAACTTACTATGGTTGAGAGAACAAAAAGAATGCTTTTAAGCCAAAAAAGACATTGTAGTATAGACATATACAGAAAATGTATAGAAAGCATTAAAAGAATGCAGTACTACTGCTAAAGCACTTTCACTGAATTCTTACTGGATATTGAATGTTCTTTAGGCAGAAAAATACGGCCATCCTGTGAACTGTTGCAAGGAATAGTTAATGCTGAATACCCCCATTTTAGAAACCAAAATCTGTTTTTTCCACAGTGATGACTGTGCCCTCCTTACCCATTTGAGAAACACAGCAGTTGGGCTGTCAGAAACAAGCCTTTATTACTCAGAGATAATACAAATCACTCTAAGAATTGCTGTGACTTTGAATGTTTGGACAGAAAATAATTCTTTCTGAAAGTTCATTTGCCAGTTGTTGCAATATAATGTGACATACTTACTGACACACATCCCTCAATTCCCTTTTCACCAGAAGAGATCTATAAACTGCTCTGCATACCCTGCTGGGATCTTTCCATCAAGGCTTACCACCAACATTGGTTGTTCCAGGAATACAGACTGAAGTATAGGGCTTCCCTCTCACTCACCTATCCTACTCACCAATGTCTAACGAGGTTATTTGACACATTCTGTAGATGGTAGTATATCTTCAGAAGTGGTGCACACAGAAAAGTATTTCTACTGTTAAAACATATTTTTCCCCCTAATCTTTTAAGCCTTGTTTTGATGCTGAAAATGTCAGAGTCAGCTGGGATAAGAGGAAATGCTGAATTGCAGAACAAAAATATATCTCAAGTAGCAGACTGATAATTAGTTACTTCTTGATCACTGAACAGCTTATCACTTTCAGAATATGAAGCACTTATTAACATGACACCTCTTTGTAGTTACCAGTCAATTGTGTAATGAAGAGCTACGTTAACTCCACCTCAATACACAAGTATCAGCATAAAAATTACACTAGAATTCTGTATTACGTCATCATCATCTCTAACGTGAAACTGAGAGGAAGAAAACAGCAGAGGAGAAGTAAAGGTAAGCAACTCCTTTAGTCAAAAGTGTAGATCTTAAATAACAAACCATTTAAAATAAGAAATGCAAATAGTTTAACTAAGGAGAGACATAGCCTGAACATTTGGCACTCATGAGAAAGGGAAACAAAGTTGTTAATTGCTGACAAGGTTTCTATGGGTTTCAAGCAATGTGGAAGGTTTTCTGTTGCCAAGATAAGGAAGTACGCTGTGCTTCAGTTGAGTAATGACTGAATAATGAAGTCTCAGGTTGGACTGTTTAACAATCAATCCATTAAAAGTCCAATTTGAGGCCAGTATTGAGAAAGATTTAAGGAAAGAAACATACTATGCAGACCAACCCAAACTGCATTCAAGTGAAAGTTTCTTTAATATTGAAGAATTTTTATATTTTTTGTTTTAGTAATTTTCAGTTTAATATTGGCACTCTTCTGCCATGACAAAGAACACTACCATTAAGCTTGTTTTTTATGCTATTTCTTCTCAACAACACAAAATAATTTCAGGTGAAGATGAGTTACTAAGAGTAAGAAAGCTGCTCATATAGGTACATAATCACTATTTTCTCCCTTTCATAGGTTTCTTCAGCAGAAATTAAGGTGACAAGAACAGCTTTTAATACCGTTTTCTAATGGAGCAGGCACAGATGACTCCAATCTGATGTCATCTTGGTCATGACGTGTGTGATTAGCAGCCAAACTGGCCCACTGTGATACCCAACGCTTAGTTCCAGGGGGAGCAGAACCTTCCTAAGGAAGAAAAGCAGAAGAAAAATTACAGCTGTTTGATAAAAACCCATGTCCTCTTTCCAGGTTTTTCCTGAACAGACATGTCAGATGCTATTTTCCTCAAGGAAGTTGAAAAAGGAGTTTACCTCATAAATTTTAGAGTTACTAGCTCTAAAATGGCAAACAAACGAGATCTATATAGTTGGAGAATCAGTACAAAATAAACAGCATTTCCTTCTGCAGTGAACTTTTAAACATCAGAACCTATATAAAATATATTAGAACATATGCTAGTTTTCAAACCGAGTTATTTCAGTCCTCAGCTCAGAAGAGCAGGAAAAAAACATGAAGTGTGAGGGTGTGTGTTTTCAAAAATTAAAAATGTGTTTCAGGAAGACAAGAAAGTGACATTTTACCAGTTTAGAAGACCCTCTCTTGTCCAGATGAAATATTGTATTTACTTCATTACAGAAAGACTACCTTAAAGGACTGAAAGAGTAAGATAACTTATGATGGAAAGGAAAGGAAGATCATTTTCCTCAAGGAAGTTGAAAAAGGAGTTTACCTCATAAATTTTAGAGTTACTAGCTCTAAAATGGCAAACAAACGAGATCTATATAGTTGGAGAATCAGTACAAAATAAACAGCATTTCCTTCTGCAGTGAACTTTTAAACATCAGAACCTATATAAAATATATTAGAACATATGCTAGTTTTCAAACCGAGTTATTTCAGTCCTCAGCTCAGAAGAGCAGGAAAAAAACATGAAGTGTGAGGGTGTGTGTTTTCAAAAATTAAAAATGTGTTTCAGGAAGACAAGAACCTCTCTTGTCCAGATGAAATATTGTATTTACTTCATTACAGAAAGACTACCTTAAAGGACTGAAAGAGTAAGATAACTTATGATGGAAAGGAAAGGAAGATCAGATCATTTGTGTGGCCTAAACAAAAAAAGAAGCAAAGATTAGTTTTAAACCATCCTACCATGTAACAGTGAAGTCAATACAATCAGTATTTAATCATTTTTTGCAGCTGACCTAGAAAGGAAATTAATTTACTTTCCTGACAGCAAGCCTTCTGGAACCTTGAAAATTTTTAAAATGTAAAAAAAGTAGATATAAAGTTAAACCATCTACCTATGTTGTGTTGTTATAGTATCTTAAATTGTTTAAAAAAACCCAATTGTTTAAAAAAACCAATTGTTTAAAAAAACCAATTGTTTAAAAAAACCAATTGTTTAAAAAAAACAGTTTTGTTTTGGTTTGGTTTTTTTAATGAACTGATTTCTAAGTATAATGCAGTATTACTGGTTTATCCAATATACTACAGTCTCTCTTGCTCACATCTCCAAAAAAAGACAACAGGCAACTGTCAATGTATATATATATGTGCATATGCATGCACACACATGGACTGCACACTATGAAAGGTTTTCTAGAAGCTTACATAGTCTAATTTATTGGACTCAAAAGACAAAGCACTGCAAATGACAGAAGTCACTGACTACAGCCCACAGGAGTTCCATAACCATAGGCAAGTCAAATGAGAAATCACAATTCAAGATCAACAAAAGAGATGGGAAGGACATGGAAACATGAGAAACCTGTTTAATAAGGAAATCTGTAGGAGCTATTTCAAATTTCAGCTGAAGCTCTGTTGCCTGTTCAAATCTTGGCACTTCTATTCAAAATGCCAATTTTTACCTAACGCCTTGGCCACTCTGGGATTCTAGTCTTAGACCAGGAACCAACTCTATACATTTTATACAATGTATTTAGCAGAAACGGAACGGTGAACAATGTCATCTAGTGTATAATGACTTCTTAAAAAATAAAAGTTACTTCAACACTTGCGAAGACATCAGTTTGTGACCTTGAATTTCTCCTGATGAAATGAATGGCTAATTAATGCAAACAAGTGAAACATCACGAATCTCTTTCAGAATATTATGAATGTAGTAAATCAGAGATGCACCAGATCATTTGTTTAAACTATTAGACAAATTTACACATTGTAAATTAATTTCTTAGAATCAAAATGTTAATTCAAAGTTTCTGTTATTTCACAAAACATACACCTAATAGATTTCTGTGGACTTATTATTCAGTCTGAAGGTATAGTGCTTCAGGATCTACACCTGAAAAAATGCCACAGCACAAACAGTGACACCTAGAAGCATCTCCAATACTTGGCATTTCAGAGCAGAATAATATTTTTAAAAAATAAATTTCAAGAAGCTGAATAATAAATTAAAAAAAAGTTGTCTTTTCAGACACGCACTCCAGTCCTCTCATGTTGTAAAAATATTATGCTATCCTTTCATAAAATAAAGTGCTGACTTGAAAGCAATTTTACTCCCTCTCCCCTCTACCCGCTTCAGAACCGTATTCCTCCAGGGGCAATGATGTTTTTTCAAATTTCCATACTCACTTTATTTACAGTCAATATCTTCACATTAGTTCCCAGAACAATATTGACACCTACCTCAAATAGTTCTTTTTCCTTCTGTTGCATTTACTCAACTTAATACAGCAAAACCCCACAATTGTACCCAACTCAGCTACTACTTTGCTATACTAAATGAATTGTATCAATCTGTTCTTGTAAGATAAATCTCCATTCCCTTCATAAACTGAGTAGACCCTTGTACATCCTCCAGTCTTGTATTCACCTTTCTTAACCAAGAATGGTAAGAATTCTAGTGCTGGTATTTCAGAGGAAGTTTCCCCAACACTGTCCTTTTCTACTGATGATACATTTTCCAGGGTATCCAAGGGTCATATTTGCCTTTTCACAGCCATATGACATTGGTGACACAATCACCCTATGTTTCATTATAGCATCTAAGTTCAAACAAAAAGCAAGTATCAAACTTCAGACTGAATGGTTTGCTCTAAAGGAGGACAGGAAATTAATGTAATTAGAACAGACAAATAAAAGGAAATACAACCTCTAAATACACATAGTTCTCCACTTCTAAGAAGTAACACAGCAAATATTTACATGAATGAGGTCATTCACTATTCAGAATGTCAGCGGTATTATTTATTTCATCTTCAGTGGGAAAGACATGAAACGGGCATTCAAAACATGAAAAGGAACATTGTAGTCAATGGCACTGATGACCCTGCAGATGCAGAACCGGGTTTCTAGCTGTGCTGCAGTATTAACAAAAAATTTTGAAAAAAAACACAAATCAAACAAAAGCCAGGTATGTCTTTAAGAAGCACATAAATGACAATGTTGATAAACCACATACATGATTTAAGAACTGTGGTTAGCATATGATAACTGGCCACTGAAAATTTAAATGGAAGTTGGATGGATAAATCATAATCCAAATCTCTGCAGTATTTTTATTAATCAAGTTCACATAGTAACAACAAATAATAACAACAACAACAATATTATCTTTGTTCTCTATCTTATTTAATTTTTGTTCTTAAATCACACTTACCTTGGTTGGCAAGTGGCAGCTTATAATATAGAAAATAAAAACATTTAAATATTTAAAATAGATGGATTTTTACGGCCTAATCTGTAATCATTGAAAAGGCAAGAACCAGTGCATGCAGGCTCAATCCAACTGTGTCAGACATTAATTCTGCATTTGATTTAGTCTCATGACATACACTACTCCAAAGTTTATCATATCAAAAGAAAAGCTGAGAATTTCTTTATAAGAAAAGCAATTTTTTAGGTACTTTCTGATACTTCACAAGCCCTGTAAAGTTATTAAAGTTCAGAATAATCTTTCAACCCCAAAACTGTTTTTATAAAATCTTCATAATTTCCCAAGCCATCTTTTCAATCTTCCTGAATTGAAATTCCTTAATTTTTGATTCTCTGCTTCTTCTATGTCAATCATGTTCTGAATTAATCTAATTCTGCTAAATCATCTACATCCAACTGTGATGGGCAGCTGGAACAAGGTTCACCTACCATCTGAGTGGCTGCAACCTGGAACCCTGAGCTACCCTGAGGTTATAGTTGGCTATTTAGCCAAGATCTTCAATAAGGTTTATTAACTTATGATCTGCAGCTCAGAAACACAGTAAGTCTTTAAAAAAACACAATCAGAAAAGTTTCTATATAATCACAGAATGGTAGGGGTTGGAAGGGACCTCAGGAGATCATCTAGTCCAACCCCCCTGCCAAAGCAGGTTCCCTTCACCAGGTTGCACAGGAAAGTGTCCAGGCAGGTTCTGAACATCTCCAGAGATGGAGACTCCACAACCTCTCTGGGCAGCCTGTTCCAGTGCTCTGTCACCCTCACAGTAAAGAAGTTTTTCCTTAAGTTTGTATGGAACTTTCTGTGTTCCAGTTTTTGCCCATTGCCCCTTGTCCTGTCACTGGGTGCTACTGAAAAAAGCCCAGCCCCATCCATTTGGCCCCTGCACTTCAGGTATTTATAGACATTGATAAGATCCCCTCTCAGTCTTCTCTTCTCCAGGCTGAAGAGTCCCAGCTCTCTCAGCCTTTCCTCATAAGGTAGACGCTCCAGGCCCCTCATCATCTTTGCAAATCAAACACATTTGCCTCTCTCTTTCCTAATGATAAAACAAACTGAGTGTACATTTTGGTAACAAGACTTTAAATATTACAGTCTTCTCTCATTAGTTAACCTCATAATTGATTTCCTATTATGATACTACAAACCTCTATTTTTCTGAATTAGCTTTTCTTTTGCTTTTACATTCGAATCAACCAACTTCTATTTTTGACTTTATCTGTCAAGATTTTTTCCATCTTAACCTGTCCTCATGTCTTCTTACACAATTCTTGCTTTATCCACATTGCTTATGTCAGTTTTGCTCCTTTACCTACTGAACAACTTCCATTTTTTCCCTATCATGCCTTGCAATAATAATGTAAATTAAGACTATGCCAAATAACCCATTGGCTTCCCAATATACTAATACCTTTTTATTCAGCAAAGGATCCACATTAATAAAAAGGCATAATTCTTGTAATTTCAACCTAAATCAAATCAAGTTTTAGTATGTCATTGTCAGAAGGATTCTTGAACCTGCCCTACTATTGCAGAACAAGTCTCAGTCTTCCAAAATCAAAGCCTGTTATTTGCAAAATATGACACCTGGAAAGCTCAATTATGTTCATAAAATAAATCATATATTCTTCTTCTGCTTATGAAATTACAGACGTGGAAAAATAGCAATAATTTTAATAATCATGAAAACCGATATGGCACAAAAGACCTGAATGCTGCAAAAGGCATGAAAAAGAAGAGAGAGAAAGACTGCGGTTATAGGTTCATGCAAAGAAGCAAGATGGAAGGCAAAGTTCTTCCACAGGACATGCCATGCTGTATGGCAATACTTTACTCGAAGCAGTAACCTTAGAGAAAACTATGCAAAGATACTCATCTAGATACAGTAACATACTTAGTGTATCAAGACTGCACAGTAGCTAAAATACAACTGTGATAAAGCACACCTTCTCTAGGAGAAACTGATTCCTAGATACTAAAAAATATATATATTCCCATGGCAGGCACACAAAGTCATACTTCAAGCTCTTGATATATTCCAGAAAATATGCTTACTTATAAAGTTTTTAATATACAGGATTATACTTGAGAAACAGTTTGCCATGGCAAGTAGAAGTAAGTGTGGTATGTTTCATTCCTGTTACCAGATTAATTCTGTTCCAGTGTGAGCCCGTTCTGTTCCCAACACATTTCAAGTTATAGTTCATCCATCACAACTATATCACAATGTGTCTCAAGATTTCAATATCAGTAACATCTAGCTTGTGTGCATATTCTGAATCATATATAAAGAACAGGCATTTTCCTTTGCCTAATCTTTCACCAGCTGATTAAATTACACTGCTTCTGAGGTAACTAACATAAGTGACTTGCTATGAGTCACATCTTACCTGAGAACTCAAACTGTGCATATAAAAACCTCACGAAGTCCTCTGGCTTTATAAAAAAATCAGAAATTTATTAGCCACCTTTTTTTTTTTTTTTTTTAGCTGACTTTGTATCACACATTAAACATATACACTTTATTTCTTGATATTAATACAGTTACTTGCTTTGGGCTATAAAACATAACCAGCTTTTCCTCAGTTCTGATGCATAACTTACAAGAAGTGTATACTGTGCAAATGTGTGTTGCAAATATAATGTTGGAAAGAAGCTCCTGCTACATTTCCAATACTGGTGTTACTGCACACAGAAAGGCAGCAAAGCTTAAAACACCTCCACAATGTAACGTGCCTATTTCTGACAGAGAAGTTTTGATACTGCAATAAAGGCCTAAGAAAAATAAAATACTTATAGATCTGAGCTAGTGTTTTCTAGGTAAGGTTTTGTTTGCTGTTTAACACTTACTGGTCAGTTATTAGTGCTCTCTCTTATTGGAAGAAAAAAGAAGACCATCAAAAATTAAATTCTACCTCTGTGTCAAGAAATCCAGTTGTACTCAGTGGTCTTTTTTCTTCCAGTACTACTGTAGCAGAATTTATAGCCCAATCTTTTACTAAATCTTTCTGGTTCTCGTTGATAACAGGCCTATTATAATCCTGGCTGTCATCCACTCCAAATACCTGAAAATGAAACAAACCATTACATACATTAACCCAATACCATCCTGATACAATGTTCAATGTTAATGGATGGATGGTGGCATGCTGGATAGTGAGTTTAAATACGCTTTGTTTTGTTGTACTATGATTATCTGTCATCTGGGTGAAATCTACAAATTAAATAGAAGAAATATTGACAGCACTTAGAAAAAGAGCAGATGCCTATGTCAGCACTGTGAAAATTCAAGAAACTGCTAGTTGGAATGGTCAGGTATGAAAAAATGACACTTTGATGAAAGAAACAAAAGATAAAGGCAAAATCATTACAAAAATAATTTTACAATTAAGAAAAAAACCAGTAACTGGAACCACCAAATTTTCAGATTTTTGCTATTGTCTAGTGAAAACAAGAAATACAAATGCTTACATCTGCTACTAATATGGCTAATGAATTATTTCTCTAATACAAACAAAATTTCACTTTTTCATTTGTGAGAGTCTTAGCAGATGTTAGAAGTCCACCAGGTCACTTGCCATGGTTCTCCTACTACACTGTTTCCTAACGATGCTTGTATTAATCCTTTCCACTTGTGACAGAATAATTTCCCCATGACATTTTAAAACCACTGCTCAGAGAAAAATACTAGAAAAATGTGATTACCAAGGCCATTTACTAATGAGGACTTAAGCAGCATACTGTCTGTCAAATTTCTCATAAGTCACAGATGTTAAAGAATATGAATTGCTCTCATAATTGATGAATACCTCAAAGATATTTTAGAGAGTATTTTTGTGTCTTGGAAACAGACAATTTATAAAATTTATAAATTTCTGCCTAAGAAACAAATTCATTACTTTACTACCAAGGACTTGGGCATTAAAAAAAAATACACAATTGTGAGGAACTGCACTGTGGACTTGTCT